CTTCATAATGTAACATATAAATGAATTATGTGGCAGATGAAGCTAGTAGATAGTTCTTCACCTCAACAAAATCAGCAATGAACTAAGTTCACAAGAAATTATTTGTTTTAGTCGCAGATGAAGTATAAGGGCTAAGTCAAAAATAAGCCCAAAAAGCAATGACATTTTCAAAGCAACCAGAGAGATGTTATCATTACAACCAAAAATATCATTGACAATTACATTACCTAACTGATGATTTAATGCATTTTAATCAATACGTGATTTTGTTTTCCTGGCTTGTTTATATATATTACTATGTATAGTCAATAAGTATTCAGGATTTCCTTCATAAATTTATGTTACTCTTTTTGTACATTTAGCTTATCTTTGATCAGGTGTTTTTTTTTTTAAACCACTAATATTTTCTTTCTGTATTTCATTCTCGCAGTTTGTCATTACTGAGTCGATGTTTCTCCAGAGTAGCCACATTTTGATAACAATATTTACAATGCATTCAGGACATAAGAGTAATGGCTAACTCAAAAATTCACCTTAGCAAAGTTATCCATAAAAGATCTTCACTTTACTTGAGAATAATACTCGAAAAGTAATATTTGAAAAGAACAAGTTTTTCTTTTTCTGTTTGCGTTCTGGTCATGTACTTTCAAGAGACCAACATAAAAAGATAAGCGATTAATCATAACTTGACTTACAGAATACTCATTCTATTATAACAGTGACTTACTGTTTCTCTGATGTTAAAGCTCATGTTTAAGTGTCTTAAATTGCGCTGTTGTTTCATCAGTTTGATATTCTTATAAGCCTCAAGTTCTTCTAATTTTCTAAATAAAATAATTATTGTTAAACAAAAGATATACGTTTAAAAACACTGTATTACCAAAAATTGATTCACTACTTCTCCTTTCTTTTAAGGATAGGAAAGAAGGACTAGGTTATATTTTATTCTATTGTTATCGATCTTACATTTGAGATCGCTATCAAATTGTAAACCTTTTAACAACATATTTTTCCAAAATAGCTTCTTGAGTGTATTTACAGCTTGCATTGATGCTTGTGTGTAGTTGTTGTTACGTTCAGTCAAAATGTAACTTTTGAGCGTTATGACGATGCATTTGACATTTAAGCCAGACTGTGTGCTGACACTCCCTAATTAATCATACACAAGTCTTCTTTAGAAACAGAAAAGTTGCTTTATGAAATGGGTTATCAATGTTTAACAGAAATTTAAACTTTTTGTTTATGTTCAGGATAAATATAGAAATAATAGTGTGTAGCTTTGAAATGGAAGACACTACACGCTTGTCTAAATAGTCATAAGACAGAATATATTTCTGTAGTTTATGTATTTTTTCATTTAAATGTTTGCGTTGTTGTCTGGAGAGTGGGAGAGTAAGACGTCACGTGACGAGGGCGTGGCTTAAAGTGTGGAGTTTTTGTTAAGGTTTTAGAATGGTTCGAGCAGAATAAAAAGCGAGTTAGGCTGAAGAAGGTATTATTATTATTATTAGTGACTATTGTGTGTATTACTTAGTTACATTGAGTCTGAAGTAGTGAGATTTTATTTCATTGAGTTTATTAGTCAGTTAGTTAAGTGTTGTGGCTATTGAATTTATGTTTGACGAAGAAATAGAGATATGAGGGAACTGGCAAGTACGTTAATTCATAGTAATAGTCTTTACAATGAACAAGAGTCCATCAGTTAACTTGTATAAATTATAGACGAGGAAATAAAATGCTTTCGTTATCATTAATTGGACTGGATGCTGCATTTTATTTTTACTGAATGATCCGAAAGAAACCGCCCAACAATATAAACTGTTAGAGCAATATCTAAGTACAAATATTATTGATAGAATATATTTAGATTCTTACAAAAGAAACCTTTCAAATTACAAATATTCTATCTGTTTTATTGTTAGCGTAGAATTTAAGCTCAAAAAATTTATACAAGCAGTGGGCGAAGTAAAAAATTAGTATGATTTTAAATATCATTATTCAATGTCTTTCTTATATCATGTTTTTTTAGTCTTAAATGATATTTTTGGTTTACATTCTAAAACCTCCTTAAAGACTGATAGCAAAGCAGCAATCAATAGAAATAACATGTTATTTTTCTCAATAGAATAGAAATAACATTTGTTATTTTTCTCGATTCCAATTAAAATCAAACTATATATGCATTCTATTTTGCGGTGTTTGTATGCTCTTACACTAGGTTCACAGTAAAGTCGTTTATTCAGTTTGCAATAGAAGAAACGTGATGCTGTACTGAAAAAAAACAAAAAAAAACATTCGATGTCCTTTACTCGTATATCTCTAGACTGAACTTTAGGTCAATCAGTTAAATTGTATTGTTAAACAATTTGATTGTTATTTTTAGTTCAATTTATGCAATGAAATACTTTCTCATTGTCAAAGTCACTTTGTTAATGCTCATTTCTAAAAGCCCATATATCTCTGATATATCTTTAAAATAGTAAAACAAACACAGTAAACATAAAAAAAACCATTATTACAATTACACTTAGAAAATAAAAGTATTGAGAAGAGTGATAACTTCTATCTTAAAGTGTTATTAAAAAACATGACTTACCAGTGTGAGTACGCTGATGAGCTTTAAGGTGTGACGATTTAGTGTACACTTTCTTACACCCGCTATATTGGCACTTGTGAATTCTTCTCTTGTTGTCTGGGACTAACCCAATTCGGCAATGTGACTCAGGCAATGGGTTAACCGCTGTTAGAGATGCTAACATCCGAGGTCCTAACGTTGATGTTGGCACTATTGGATCTTGAAAAATGGAATTATTTGAGGCCACGGCAACTTGTAGAGTAGCACTGACACCTAAACTTTGGGTAAATGGACGCTTAACTGCGTCCTTTGGGGAGGACGGAGGTGAAAGTGAAGACTGCCCTAACTTTGTTAGAAGTTTCACAGAAATACCTTCTCCGCCGGGCACTGACAGAAGCGACTTTTTTTTCAACGTATGATACTTATTCTTGAAATCACTAGACGTGACCATATTACTTTCAATATTTATCCTCCTGGTGGCGCTAGGCATCACATTATCGCCATTATGATCGCTTATGTCCAGATCTGAAACACTAAGCCTGTCTTCTCCTCCACTGCTGTTTCCGCCGTCACTGTTACAGTCTCTGCTTTCTGTACTTGAATTAAAACTAATCAAATGTCCGTCTGGGTCAGAGGTTAAGTTTTTAGAAGACGACTCTCTGTCATTCCGTAATGATATCAAATTTAACGGATCTTGTACAGTCTTTGGTAGCTGTCTACATGGGCGTATTCTAGGTTCGTCCCTTAGGTATCGTTCCATTTCGAAAATCGTCTGGAAAATAAAGAAAAAAGGATGTAACATGTCTTCAAAAATTAACTTTCGACAACGTTTTTATATGTTCGAGTTGTAATTTTTTTCGACTCACCAAAGACAATTTTTTTTATCCACACTTTACTAACATAAGCAGATAAAATCAAAAAATTCTTTATCATGGATTGATATATTTTATTTTCTAAGCACTAGTAACAAACAGAAAGCAAACTTATTTCATTGTCATTGAACATACATAAGTATGCAAATTGCCACCAAATAGATCTGGCATGGCCAAGTGGTTAGGGCGCTCTAATCGCACTCTAAGGGGTCGCGGGTTCGAACCTCTGTATCACCAAACATACTTGCCATTTCAGCCGTGGGGGCGTTATAATGTGACGGTCATTTCCACTATTCATTGGTAAAAGAGTAGTCAAAACAGCTGGCGATGAGTGGTGATGACTAGTTGCCTTCCCTCTTGTCTTACGCTGCTAAATTAGGGACGGCTAGAGCAGATAGCCCTCGTATAGCTTTGCCCAAAAATTCAAAACAGATCAAACCAAAACAAACCCATAAAATATAGATATCTTAGAAAGTGGGCGAAATTGTAAAACATAATCACTTTTAAATAAAAAAAAAGTCACTACAATAATCATCATGTTAATACAGAATGTGATTACCCATTTGTTTTATGGGAAATAACTGAATTAATACAAATCGTATTATAATTCATGAAACTACGTAAAAACAGAGAAGTGGTGAGAGTTATTATCGCGTATTGAATTTTTTATATTAAGTAGGTTTATCACTGTTAGTAAAGTAGAAAGTAAATGCTAATAAGTATGAATACACAAAATTAAACTAATCTAGAACTAAGTTTACAATATAAATAGATAAGAAGCTAAACATAACATAAATAAGCTCCTGAAACTGTTGCTATTATCCGGGAAAGTTAAGGATGATATAAACTGCTAGAACGGTAGCTCTTGATATTATGAAGTTTTGCACATTGTACGAGTAGGAGCTCATGGGAAAGACTAAGTAGCATTGTTTACGTGTGATAGTTCTGTTATATTGATAGATATACGTTGTTTATGTGTAATAGTTCTGTTATACTGATAGATATACGTTGTTTATGTGTAATAGTTCTGTTATACTGATAGATATACGTTGTTTATATGTGATAGTTCTGTTATACTGATAGATATACGTTGCTTATATGTGGTAGTTCTGTTATACTGATAGATATACGTTGTTTATATGTGATAGTTTTGTTATACTGATAGATATACGTTGTTTATATGTGGTAGTTCTGTTATACTGATAGATATACGTTGTTAATGTGTAATAGTTCTGTTATACTGATATATATACGTTGTTTATGTGTAATAGTTCTGTTACACTGATAGATATACGTTGTTTATGTGTAATAGTTCTGTTATACTGATAGATATACGTTGTTTATGTGTAATAGTTCTGTTATACTGATAGATATACGTTGTTTATATGTGATAGTTCTTATATACTGATAGATATACGTTGTTTATATGTGGTAGTTCTGTTATACTGATAGATATACGTTGTTTATGTGTAATAGTTCTGTTATACTGATAGATATACGTTGTTTATGTGTAATAGTTCTGTTATACTGATAGATATACGTTGTTTATGTGTAATAGTTCTGTTATACTGATAGATATACGTTGTTTATATGTGGTAGTTCTGTTATACTGATAGATATACGTTGTTTATATGTGGTAGTTCTGTTATACTGATAGATATACGTTGTTTATATGTGGTAGTTCTGTTATACTGATAGATATACGTTGTTTATATGTGATAGTTCTGATACAATAATAGATACAGGCATAATTCTGTACGTTTTAGCACAATAAGCCGAAACCACAAATTTTCTAAAATCTCCCCTGGTAACTGCGGGGCGGCGTGGCTCATTGGCTTCGTAGTCAGATGGTTGTGAGGCTAAGGCTGGCCTGCATCATGCTAATGTGTCCTTTAGCAAGAACTACCCCTCTTGTTCCAGTCTATCCAGCTGTATTATAGGCACCAGCTGTTAGCTAGGGGTTAACCTGTGATGGACTGGAATCCTGTCCAGGAGTAATGGGTCACCATTGTCATCGGATGGTGTCACTGGGAATCGGAGCTTAAATGCACTGGCCTCATGTGCCTTGCAAGGAATTAACTTTAAGGAACTTGATAAGACATGCCTGCGATGGTTTTAGTGTCTTGAAATTTTTACATGATCAACAGTAATTCCTGTACGCTGAATCCCTTTTTATCCATCACGTACAAATTTTTCACGAAACGTCGTAACGCAATACATAAAAGAAAGACCACAACAATATAGTTTTTAGACTAAAAGTGGTAGATTTAACAAAAGAAAAATCAGGATGAATGAGGATGTATATTCGTTTGACATCAATGTTCCTCTCTTTTCTTCAGTTTGTTTGTATTTTTATTAACAAACATAATAACAAAAATATTCATTGTGGTAAACGAGATAATAATTTAATCTAAGTAAGAGTTTTTTTCCTATTTGTAAAATATCCTTACGTAATAGAAAAAAAATGAATATTATTTTTGAAACCTGCTTAGCCGAATTATAGAAAACCTGTTACTAAAACCAAAACAACTTTTATGAAGTTTAAATTTGCAGGCATGTGTTATTAGTCACTACTGAGAACTTCGAAGATAGATTAGTTACAACTGATATTCGACTGCAGTTATATGGAAACTACATTATTTGTGATAGGTAGTGTCTAGAACAACATCTAACACACAACATTACGTTGCTTTTAAATTAGCTAAATAATCCAGCGTCAATTGTGGTGTATTAATATATTCTATTCAGTTGTTACCATGTCAAAACAATAAATCGACTAAAGTTTAAACAAAGTATGGCAGCTATTTATATTTACACAAAGACTAATATCTATAATATTCAGAGAGAAAAAAGAATAAAAAAAAACGTGAAAGTTCTTCGATGATACAGGCATAATAGTAAACACATATGGGTTAAAAGGCCAAGTTATATTAGCATAATAAGATAAAGGATATGGGTTCAAGGTCAAGTTAGGTAATATAATAATAATCATATAATGGCTCCTAGGTTGAAGGCCAAGTCAGGTAATACAATCATACTTGGAATAGGATACGAGTTAGAAGGCCAAGTTTAGTAAGACAAGCGTAATTAAATAATGGATAACAGTTGAAAGTTCATGTTTAGTAATACAATTAAAATTACCTACGGATATGAGTTAGAAGGTTAAGTATGGGACGCGAATGTTCATAGTTAGTTAGCAACACTGTAGTCTGCTTGTCCTTATGTTAGTAGCAAGTATTGAAGATCAGAACATTCACTGATTATCGTTCACATCTTTATCTTCACGAATCACAGATGTATTTTATCACTGAAAACCCACTTTTTCTTTTGAAATGTGAAAAACAAAATATCGTAATTGTTAATATACCAGAATAAACTGTTCTGTAAGTGTTTGAAAAAAAGCTAGTTCGAATCTAAAATAAGAAACACAGCATTTGCTCATTCCTTCTCGATGATAAGAATTTAAGCAACAAGTGACATCATTCATGCTTATCAAGCTGCATGTAACGTAAACAGTATATCTAAAATGGCTTTAATTATATGCCCTTAGAAATAATATATTTCTCTTTTTTTCTGTATTACGTGTAAGTGTTTTTGTTGGACCATCAACGGTATATTTTGTTAAACAGTATAGTCGTGTAAAATAATAAACACACACAACGCTACTTTTCTGTTATTACAGCAGCTAGTAAGAATATCACAATTTGCATTAACTGTTCCAATGCTAAATCTCAACCATAATTGTAGTGATTATTCGTGTGAGACTCCCTACACATACACTGTGAAATACTTTGTACTTCTATGAAAAATTGTAGGTAATGCTTTTTACAGAATCTAAGGCTGTTATACATGCAGGCAACATCTAAACATAAGATGTGAACAAACTTTGTCCAAATATTAAAACAAGAGAGTACAGGAAGTATAATAATGTTGTTAGATATCTTTTTTGATATATTATTGATTTATTATTGCATGTTTTTTAAGGTTGTTCTAGTCTACATCATTAGTAAACTGTAGCTAAACAGAACATGCATAGTATTTAAATAAATATCTGTGTTCTGCGTAAATAAAAGCATGTAAAAAAAAAGCAAGTTCGATCCCCTCAATGTCACGCAATAAGAACAACACAGTTTTCTCAATTGCTATGTTTTCATTCACAGTCTTAAAATAAACATGTTAAGAAGTGATTTTAAAGACTGAAAGATAGATGATGTACACGTAGAATAACGAACCGACAACTTGATATTCGCCCCCTTGGATATGTAATACTTCATACAATACTTGCACAAGGTTCTTCTACATTTACAGTTTTATACTTAAGTGTATGTTGTTGATGTTTAAGCAACTCGTTCCAAAAATGAATAAAATGTAAGTAAAACATAAAAGCTTTAAGTTTTAGCTCCAGCATGAAGAGATATTTATGATAGCGTATATATCTAAAGCAAAGTAGTTAGTAGGATATAGACCATAACCAGCTAAGTTAGTAGCTTAACGTTACAAAAGAACTTCATTACTTCCAGAAAAGCCCCGTTTATTCTTGATAACGAGTCCCTAGAGGAAAACTCAGGAACTCCAATCTCTGTGTAGAAATCGTTCTACCTGCATAAGAACTATAAGCTACAAGATAAAACTATAGGAATTAATTTTCCTCGGTTTATTAAAGCTCCATTATTTATGCTCCTTTATTTTTCTTTAGAATAATAATTAATGTAAGCACATCTCATATTCGACACTACAAACAACTGAATAAACACCTTTCGCTAAGGTCCTTTTAGCTGCTTTTTGTAAGTAGATTACTGTCATTGGGTTGTTATGCTAACTGAACGGATAGCCACTGATATGTATTCAAAACTAACTCATAAGATGTAAACCTTCTTGTTGTATAATTTCATTTATTTAA